GCATGATAAAATAATCAATGTTTGTAAATACAAAATAATATTAGTTTTAAAAGAAAATAAATTTATTTTTTGATTAAGTATTAATAATGCTTGAAAACATGAAGTGATTATCAATCATTTCGAAATTGATAGTTACCATTTAAAAATATATTTATCTAAAATTATTATATATAATCATTAGATAAATCATGTTATCTAGATAATCAATTACGATTTTGAAGATAATTTTATCAATCATTTTCTAATCAATTTGTGTAGTATGATTAGTTATCATTTTTTTGTCATTTATCTTCGTCTCATGAGTTTGATTTTGGTTCATCGTAGAGAAATATTTGAGATTTTATGATATTAGACGTTGTTCTTTTTTAATATGTTGACAAATAAAAGAGTTAAGATCATTTTTAAGTTAAATATGCTGTTAAAAAATTCATTTTATTGTGCTTAAACCTTTTAATAAGAAAAAAGTTTTTCAATTTTCATGAAATATATAGATTTTAAAAATAGTATTAAAAAGATTCTTTCACTTTTAACATTTTAGATATGGTTATGTTTCAATTATAAATTTATAAACACATTTGTTTGTTAATATGTATAATATATATATCTTGGTAGTCAATTAATTTAAAATCAATTATATTAATTGATTAATTTAAAATATATCTTGGTTGTAATATATATTTCACTATATTAATTTAAAATATATATATTTGGTAAAAAATCAATTAATAAAATCAATTAATATATATCTTGTGTAGTCTTAAATTTATTAATTTTTATTTTCACTCTACTATTTCACGTGTTTATCATAATTTTTTTTTTTTGTCATAAGAAACAAATAAATATGGTTTATTGTGTATTAAATGAATAATTTAAACTTAAATTTCTTAAATTGTTTTTTTGTCTATGTGGACACTCTAGATGGAGAGAAAACTCTCTAATTATATAATAGATTCGAACGCAAAATTCAATGTTCCGAAAATTTGTCTATGGAGCTGTTTAGATGTTTGGTAATTTTTTTCAACGTCATGTTATTGAATAATCCGGATAAAACCCGAAAGAAAAGCACAAATGTCATAAGCCGGCGAACCACTAAAAGTCTCTGAAGCCAAAAGCCGACGGTAAACGATATTACTCCAGAGTCAAAAGCCCAAATGAGGGGAGCATTAAAGTGAAACCAAACATAAAAAAGAAATTCGGACCAATCCAAATACCAAAAAAACTAAGCTAACCACTAGAAGGTGAAAGCGGAGAATGGCTGAGATAGGATCAACAATGACGAGGAGACCCACATTGTCTTGAAACAAACGTGAAGACCGGAAACATAAGGCACAACATTAACCCCTAATGTTTGGTGATTTCTGAGGCTGAATTTTTTTTTTCTAACTTTTTTGTTTATATCAAATGAGGTGTGGTAATGTCATTTACGCTAGCTGATCCGAATGTTAGGCTGCAGGATTCATGTTATATATCCTCATTATCAAGATTTTAGTACAAATGTCGAGTCAGATGTGATCATCTGTTTCGGATTGAGTTGATACGATTCTTGACGGTTTTGTCGATGAGCTTTATAAGAGACTGTGGCGGCTGGGCATTTGCTCCGTGTCTCCGTTGATTCCTCTCATGCCATATCTGATAAACAGTTGCTTGAAAAGCATACCGTAYKAAAAATAGGTCGTTRTTATGTCTAYGAGTCGTGAGAAGACTCACAAGTTGGTCCCAAACATGAGTGTAATCTGGTCCTAGGAGTTTTGAGATGATCCCCTCCCATATGACCCTAGAGACAGGACAATCAAAGAAAAATGGTTGCGTGATTCTTCGGTATTTCAACAAAAAATGCACGCAACAATCTGCCCAGAACTCCACTTTCTCATTCGATCGCCCGATGCCAGCCTGTTTCGGATTGCGAGCCAGACAAGAAAAGAGTACTTCGGAGTAGCGTAGGAAAACCACACACCTTTATACCACAACCGGGTCGGCTGAGCAGGTCGGATGAGTCTCGAACTGTTGCTCGTTATAAATCTTGTCTTATAGACATTGTCTGAGAACTTCCAAAGCGAAATATCAACACCTTCCGATCATTTTGCCTTTGTTGTCTCAATAGCATCCTCCATCGATCTTAGGTAA